GCGAATGGAACTATGTTGGTAAATGGTTTTATCGGTGATGGCTGTTTTTGCGTGTCCTGGATGTACTATACAATCCGGTTGCTAACTTACGTACCCTTTAACGTATTTGGTAAATGAGCCGGCCATGTAAACGAGCCGGCCATGTAAACGAGCCGGCCATGTAAACGAGCCGGCCATGTAAACGAGCCGGCCATGTAAACGAACCGGCCATGTAAGCGAGCCGGCCATGTAAACGAACCGGCCACCGGCCGGCTTGGCATACTGCATACATCAGAAATCTGATTTATATTAGCCACCAATTCGAATATGTAGATAGAGGTTCAAAGGCCTGGATGAAAGCCTTCTTAGTAGGACACCTCGTATGTGTATGTCCAAGAATTCTACAAGCGCTGCAGCGAGGTGGTGCCCGGCAGCGTAGTTGGTTATCTTTAGGCCCTATATCACCGGCTGCTTCCTCCACAACCTGGGCTTTTTGCAAAGGTCCTATGGTCTTCCTGAGTCAAAAAGCTACTTAGGCCGTTCATTGGCGCGTGTCTCTTTGCGAATGATGATTCCCTTCAAGCGTTCTTGAAGAGTTGAACGTGGTACAGCTAAAACCGACGCAGCTTTTCGAATTGATGGAATTTAATCTTTTTAGATAGCCTCAATTGCAAGATATAGTCTGCCTTCTTGTTTTATCAATTCTTTGAAAGATTGGGGCATTTTTGGTGGAGAAATTGATAGTTGAAAAGACGCAGTTTCTTGGATGTGGTGGTGGTTGATGGGGTGGCCGGTTCGCTTACATGGCCGGTTCGCTTACATGGCCGGTTCGCTTACATGGCCGGTTCGCTTACATGGCCGGTTCGCTTACATGGCCGGCTCGTTTACCAAATACGTTATGTATATTGATACCGTACAATACAAGCACCGATCAATCCCAGCCAAGGACCATACAGATAGCCTGAATTGATGATCATAACTTCTACCCCCGAAGAGGATGTTTAATGCCATGGTGATTCTTTCCCCGTGATGGCGCGATGTTCCTGCTTACTGAGAAGCTTTACCCTTAGGGGTGGCGATTATCAATCACCCCCGCGCTTGATAATCACAACTAATCCGGGGTCCGACTGGAGATAAGTGCTGGAATTAAGTCCGAGCGTCCGAATAGTGTAGAGTTCTATACATAGCCACAGCTTGATACATAGCATATAAGAATCAGTCATTGCACGACACTCCCGCAGCATGTCAATCCAACCAAGCATCACAATCCTACACCAACACCCTCAACCTTCAACAATCCCACAGTCCCCAACTCCAACCCCAACAACCACAATGTCGCAACCCCAAACCGGAACCCAAACCGCCCTCCTCGCCACCGCAATCGGCCAGCGCCTCACCAAAGCCACGCGGCCCATCCCCCACCCCAACGCCAACCAAGTCCAGATCCAAGTCACCGTGGCCGGGCTCAACCCCCACGACGCCAAATCCCGGGACTACGGGCTCTTCATCCAAGACGCCCTGCCCGCCGTGCTGGCGGCCGACGTCGTCGGCGTCGTGACGCAGCTCGGCTCCGGGGTCACCCGCTTCCAGCCGGGCGACCACGTCGTCGGCCAGGCCGCGCTGGTCCTCCCGCACGGCCAGCCCTCCAACCTCCGCTTCTCCGAGTCCAACAACGACACCCAGGGGCTGCAGGAGTACGCCTTGCTGGACGAGCGGTACGCGGCCCCGGTGCCTGCGGGATTCCCGGACGCGCAGCTGGCCACCGTCCCCACGAATCTTGTGACGGCCGCCGTGGCGCTGTTCGATGCGTCGGGGCTGGGGATTCCGTCGCCTTGGTGGGGCGAGGACTCGGCTGCGGCGGCGGGGAGCTTTGATTATGCGGGTACCTCGTTGCTGATTCTGGGTGGGGGGTCGAATACGGGGAGGTTTGCGATCCAGCTTGCGGCGCTGGCGCGGATCGGGCGGATTGTGGTGGTGGCTGGGGCCCAGAGTGCGGAGGAGGCCAGGCGGTTGGGCGCTACGCATGTTGTGGATCGCACGGGGAAGTCTGGACTGGAGATTGCGGCGGAGGTGCGTGCGATCGTCGGCGATGAGTTGCTCTATGCGCTGGATACGATCAATCCGCCTGAGAGTCAGTGGATCGGGGTCGAGGCGTTGTCGAATTCCAAGACTGGGAAGCTGGCAAGGCTGATTCCGAGGGGGGTGGTTGATGAGTCCAAGCTGTCGACGAGGAAGGGGGCGGGCTTTGAGACGGTGAATGTTATGGGGGTGTCGACGGCTAGACCGGCGACTGCGGGGCCCTTGTGGAATAGGGTGGCCGGCTGGGTGGCGGAGGGGAAGATCAAGCCTACCGGGTATCAGGTGCTTCGGGGGCTGGATGTGGATGCGGTCAATAAGGTGCTGGATGGGTATTCGAGCGGCGCGGAGACGGGGCATTGGCAGGTGCATCTGTAAATGCAAGCGAATGATGGAGTGGGGGTGGTGGGTTGTATGCGAGATGTACTGCAGCTTTGGTCTTTGTCGGGTTGATTGACTTTCGATATGTTTATGAATGTGCTGAGAATACTGGTAATGGAAGGATGATTCGCAACTTGAGATAGGAAGTAACTGTTTAGTGTACTTAATGGTTGATTTGTGTCGGGATACGAAACTTGGTATCCTTCCATTTGGAGGTTGGAGAAGAGGTATGTAGTTAGCCCTAACGACTTGAGCCCGATCGATCTGCACAAATATTCCTACAGTTGCCTCTGCGTGAAGCATGCTCACTTCTCCACCCAGAGATGGTGACCATGTGCAGTACATCAGCTCTGATGCATGTCTATAGTTGCATTTGTGTCATTAGAACTCTCATCAAAATGAAATCCCCGACCACTAGTAGCAGCGCATACTATGCGCCAAATCTGCTGGAGCCGTCAGCAACCCTTCTCGCCAAGAATCATGTTTCAGGCAGCATCGACGGCCAGGCTACCATGCGCAAGGGCTGTTGCCTGTTGCTGCTGCCTATGCTGGTACTTTGTCACACGCCGAATGTAGCGAGGATGTGCCAGAGATGTGCATCCGCGGACCGGGAGCCAAGCAGCGTCTCGTATTGCCCCGCCACTGATGCAAACACCGATCGAGCGGGGATGACACAGACAACCTTAATTTAACTTGCATCTCTGTACCCACATCGCATCATCACTTTCAATCGTTTTTCACTCCGACGTTCCGTTATTGCACGATACCTCAGCCCATCCCCTAGACCAGCAATCATAATCATGGCAATCGACCACACAAGCCTCTACGTCCCCGAAGCCCAATTCCAGGCCTGCCTGGCCTTCTACCTGGCCGCCCTCAAGCCATTGGGCTACGAGGTCCGCTACCAATTCGGCGAGCTCATCGTGGGGCTCGGTTCGGTCCACGACGACATCGGCAGCTACCGCAAAGCCGACTTCTGGGTCATTGGGTCCCAGACCGTCTCCGAGCGTGCGGCGCACATTGCATTCACTTGTCACGGTATAGCCTCCCGCGTCTTAGCTGCCGGTGAAGAAGGGAGGGTGAGGTGTGCTAATGAATGGTGAATGGACAGACCACGCGACCGTGGACGCGTTCCACGCCGCCGGAGTCCAGGCCGGGGGCACGGACAACGGGGCCCCCGGATTGCGGCCGGATTACCATGCCACGTACTATGGGGCTTTCGTGTTGGATCCCGCGGGGAATAACATCGAGGCGGTGGATCATGGACTTCGTTGAGTGGAATCCCCGGGAGGGGATGGCGGTTGGGGATGATGCCGCTTTACTGGGTGTATGGTGATGGGGTGTCTATTTTACCTTGTTATTGCCCAATTGATTTGCTATTTCGAGTTGCTTCAACATCCCGCAGCCTCAGAATGCGACATGGAACATGTCGAGGCAAGGAGGAGGGTTCGAGCTCTCACTGCCGGTGCTCCTCTCCAGTCGTCGTGTGTTAAACATGACAGAGTTGACGACTTGGTGCAGTTAGCATCGGCACCTGGCATGCTGGCGTTAGGCTAGCCTGGATTAAGGGTCTTTGGCAAACCACATGCCCGGTACCCAATGGCCGTAAATCAATTCCAAGACAAGCAGGATGGGGGCAGTGCGTTCAATAATAGTGAATGCTTAGCCGTCTGAAAGTTATCGCTAGGTTTTACCCGAAACATGAAAGGTGGTTATTGGGTAGCAGTGATGTATGCACTTCCAACAGGTGCTCGGCAGTAGTTACTCGTAGGTAGTAATCCATCTATACGAGGGACAGTAGTATTACGTTAAGAGTTTTCCCGTCAGCAAAAGCTCTAGCAGTTAGGGTAGCCAGAATACCCCTATATCCTCGCAATTACACATTCTGCTTATCTGCTGTTATCTGCTGCCGAGGGTACATATCACAGTTGCTGACCATGTTGCTGTCCATGTACAGTGGAGCTTGGTTCAGAAGTGCCGCGCCGAATCTTACAAACAGTCGAATGCCTGCCGGTGTTGGGCCAGAAATCGATCACAATCCCACAGGCCAAAAGAGGATAAATGTGCAAAACAAAAGGTAAAGCCCAACGCGGGGGTTGAACCCGCAACCTTGAGATTAAGAGTCTCACGCTCTGCCGATTGAGCTAGCCGGGCTGACTTGTTGAAACTCCTGAATACCTTAGGCTTATAACCAAATGCAAGAACACTGCAGAATAAAACTTTGCAGTTCCTCTTCTCTAGCGGACCTTAGACAATTGTGATCTCTGGAGATGGATGGTTCCTGCTGCATTGCTGCGCTACAAGGATGCTGAGAACAACTCTCGGAAACGTGCTTAGATAAGCTCACCGCTTGCTGGATAACAGGTAGTAAGTGTTGGTCATCACACCATAGAACGGTGTGGTCGATTCATCTAGTATAGGATACATATAATAATCTTCGCATCACAAGTTCGCTACCCAAATCCTCAGTTAGAGTATTCTTTATGCTCACGAAGTTTTTATGCATGGTCTCTCACTCAGCCCAAGCACTGTAGATCTTATTTACATTCTAGATATAAAAGCACGATACATATTCAAGGGTAGAAGCCAAGAGTCTACCTCGAACCACCCCCTAACTCCACCAAACACCTCAACCTCGCCTTCTCCAAGCACAGCCTTGCTAATACCCGCACCGAGGGACTATTCATAATCTCAAAAAGACTCAGCGGCGCGTCCAGCTCCCGCACAATCCACTTCCGGATCCCGATCGCGGACAACGAGTCCACCCCGCAGACGGCGATCGACTTTGCCCGATCGATGTCTTCCACCGGACACATCACGACGGCGGACAGCTTCTGGACAAGGGCGGTTTCAATGGTCTCTTGCGCGTCGGTGCGCGAGGAAACGGCGGCGAGGACTTCAGCTAAGGATTTGGGGCTAGCCTTTGCGTCCACGGTGGGGTCCGCCCTCGAGCGTTCTGTAGATGAAGCTGAGGCGGTGGATGATGATCCCGCGACCAGGAAAGCGAACTTGGGGTCCTTCGGCCACTCCATTTGATTTCTGGCGTTCGCGTCCGCGGGGACCGCGAGGCCGGTGAGGATGTGATGGCGGGGAGCTGTGGTATCTTTCCCATCGGCTTGGGGCTTTTGGAAGATGGCGCATTCGAGCAGACGCAGAAACTCGGCCTGGTTGATCCCGTTGTGCGCGAAGGTGGCCTGCACCTGCTGGCGCTTGTGCGCGTCGCCGGCGAGGACCCCCGTGTCCCACACCGGTGCGAGGTCGATGCTGGTGAATGGCCGGCCGCGGGCCGTCTGGAGGTACGAGAAAGAATCCAAGAAGGTGCTCGCGGCGGAATACGCGGCTTGGCCTTTGTTGCCGACGATCCCGGCGACGGAAGATAGAGCGACAAAGAATTCCAGTGGAGCGTTGCATTTTTCTAGGGCCGCATGCAGATTGAGTACTCCGTGGACCTTGGGGCGGATGACCGCTTCGTAGTCTTCGAATGTCATGTTTTCGAAGAGGACGTCCTAGTGGAGATGGTCAGCGCTGGAATGGGGCAATGCTCGAAACATCCATGTTGATATCGGGACAGATTAAGCATGATGGGGTTAACATACCCGGAGTACCATCGCGCTGTGAACAACGCCCGCGACGGGCGGCAGGTCACGGATACCCTGGTCAAAGAGAGCCGCTACCTGACTTTCATGGCCGATGTCGCACTTGAAAGGCTGGATCACTACTCCTCTGGAGCTGAGCTCGGTGACCAGGGTCTGCATCTTCTCGAGACTACTATCTCGAGTGTAGACTGCAACCAGGTACTGAGCTCCTTGATCGGCGAACCACGTGAGAATACTACGCCCAAGCCCACCGGAGCCCCCGATAATTACGTAGGTGTGCTCAGGGCTAAGGCCTGCTTTCCGGAGGTTGCGAGTAACGGCCTATTGACAGGCTGTTAGCAGGCGCGAGCCAGTCAGTGGGCATGGAAAGGATAGTCGGCTTACCTTCACTTCGGCGTCCTTATTTTCCAGATCAACAACAAGCTTGCCCATACTCCGCCCGCTCTGCAGCATCTGAAAAGCTGACTCAATGTTTGCCAGATCGTACTTGGTGCTGGACAATGATGTTGGCTTGACGACTCCTTGCTGGAAGAGATCGAACACCTCCGCAAACACGCTCTGCAGCAGCTCCGGCCGGTCCTTACTGAAAACGCTCAGGTCCACCGACGTGAAGGAGATGTTCAAATCGAATGGCGCAAGTTGCAAATATGAGTTCGACATAATATCTTTCTTGCCGAGTTCGATGAACCTCCCGAACGGCGCGAGACAGGTGAGAGATGACCGCAAAGCATCCCCCGCCAGTGAGTTGAGGACCACGTCGACGCCCCGTCCGCCGGTGGCCAGCCGCACACTCTCAACGAACGATACATCGCGACTGAAGAAGATATCATCCTCTCGGAGCTTGTACCGTTCGATTAGGAAGGCTTTCTTCTCCGGGCTTCCAACCGTGGCGTAGACGTGCGCTCCCCTGGCCTGGGCGAGAACAATGGCCGCTTGGCCCACCCCCCCGGCACCCGCATGGATAAGGATGCTCTCGCCCTTAGTAAGCTTTGCCACGCGGTGCAGACTGAAGAGAGCGGTGCAAAAGACCACAGGGATGGTGGCAGCCACATCCAAAGTCATGGCGTCAGGGATGCACCAGGCGCTGGAAGCCCGACAGCGGACCCGGTTCGCAAAACTGCCTTCGGAGATAGCACAGACTCGGTCTCCGATTTGAAAGCGGCTGACCTGTCTGCCAATGCCGACCACAATGCCGCTGCACTCAATCCCAAATCCCCCTGGGACGTGGATTTGGTTGTTGGCATGCATGACGTCCTTGAAGTTCAGGCCCACAAAATGCACCTCGATCTCGACGTCGTCTTGGCCAAGTGGGTCATCCAGCAAGAGGTCGTCCTGGAAATGAAGGCTAGACAGATCGCCGAACTCCTCTATTGCCAGTTTTAGCGGTCGATCATGCTGGTGGAAAGACTGTCCCGTGATACGCGTCTCGTTCTCATTACGATAAATCTCGCGGTTCATTGCCTCGTCGGGATAGATGCGAGGGACAGTGATCACCCCGTCCCGGTAGACGTATTCCTGATCCATCCCGTCCACCGTGTCCTGCACAAAAGCCTTCTGCATGACCCGAGCAATGGGATCAATCACATCGCCTGCCGGGGTGTTGGAGCTAAAGTCGGTGTCGAGGGTGATCACGCACGACCCGCTTTCTGAGCGGATCGTTCTTGCAAGTCCAGTGGCCATGGTGCCGATTGCGTCATTGTCGCTGCGTTGCAGAACCCAGAGTAGTGCGCGAGAGGATGTGAGTACTGTATGAAGGCATTCGTACAATTGTGGCGTGAGCTGGGATAGAAGCGGGGATTCTACTGCGCCCAGGAAAATACAGAGATCTTCGATGGGAGTGTCATCCGATACTGCCTGGATTCGGGGGGCGCGTCCAGTCATGCTCTCGACCATGGTGACCAGATCGGACAATGGGAACCATTGGAGATTAGGCGGAACCACAATTGTCACACTTCGACCCGCAAGGCCTTTCGAGCGGTCAATTGCCGTGGAGAGAATGATTGTTGCGGACTCCGCGCTAGATAATTCAGCAGGGTTGTAAGCCAAGTCAACTCCGGAGAAGCCGGAGTCTTGGAGCACACCACGCCATTCATCGGAGGATTTTGGTGGAGAAATATGCTTCTTGTCACCCAATATCGAGAGAAGGTACAATGGGGGTGACAGAAGATGAGCCATGGTCTCCTCCACAATCATGAGTTTGCCACTAGGTTTCAACAGCATACGAGCTTGAGTCAGACTCTGAATGATGCAATGCTCTGAACTCGGGTTGGAGCACAGAATAACCACGTCGTAGTTCACCGTGGGACTGGTCTGCAGGGGCACGTCTCCAGGACGGGCCACTGGCATGTGGCCGACTAGATTGCCCCAGTCTTTCAGTCTCTGTCCAGACCACGAGAACAAGCTGGTTCTCGGCATAGCTCTAACGTAACTGGAGAATCGAGCCGAGCGCCCGGTCGGGCCTCCACCAAGTCGTTGGAGAATTTGTGAAGCAGGCCCACATGTGATTGATCCTATTTCCAGGATACTAAGACTCGGACTCTGGGATGCCAGAATATCAATGGCCTTGGCCACAGCTTCATACACCTGATGCAAGCTGGGAAGATCCAGAGTGTACTCGCCAAGACCGCCGTGCTTGTCGATCAGACTGGGAAGGTCAAGCTCTCCTTGCAAGGCCTGGGGCTTCTTATCACAAAGCTTGGATAGAATGAGTCCAGAGGGCCCGAGGCTATCAAGCATATCTATCGCTGGCGGTTTCTCCTGCAAATCGAGGGGCTGCAAAAGCGCTTCAAGGGCTTTGGTATGCATCTTAGATGGAACCAAAGGCCGGATGTTGGCCAAGCACCAAGCAGAACCCTGAGCAAGAATGCGGGCCTTTTGAGACTGAGCCATGCTGGCTGGCTCATCTGGCCTGAGATAACGATTGAATTGTTGCTGTGTCATCAGATCCAGAGTAGAAACATTGCGCAATGCATATACGAGTTCTCGTTCCGCGCGGGTTGTCACCGGCAACGGCACACTGTCCTGAACCGGAGTCATGACCAAGCCCTCAATCTGCACGATTGGAGCTGAACTTCCATCACAGCAAGCCCAGACATGGTGCTCACTGGCCTGCTTCGCCAACTTCCGCTCAGATCGAGACCCGAAGATCTCGAGCTTGTCCCCGGATTTGGTCTTGCCCTGCCGCTGGATGGTGATGCTCTTAATGAATGTTGGCAGAGAGGCCCAGTGAAGCCCATTGGTCCCTGCTCCCAAGGTGAGCCAGATGACTTGAAAGATAATATCCAAGGTTACAGGGTGAATTTGAGTGTCTGTCGCATGGTTATGGGGCATTGCAGCAACGACATCTGGAACCAGAGCCATCGCCTTGCCGCGGCCCCCGCCGGAGGTGCAGTCATGCAGCCCCTGGAACAAAGTCCCATAATCTACCCCCCACCTGCGGAGCTCCTCATATAGGTAATCTCTGTCGACTACCGACCTGCAAGGATCTCCAATGTCCGAAAGGGATCTGGCAAATAACCAAGCTCTGTCGGTCGACAGACGAGCGCCATTGACTGGATTCGACACGGTAGACTGGACGGAGATCAAACCGCGACAATTCTCTTCCCACCCGCGCTCTTCGGCCCATGACATGACCCGGAACTCTTTCCATGCATTGGAAGACTGAGTCGATCCCTCCGGGCGGGGACGTAGGGATATGACGACCTCCACAGGAACGGAATCCGGGACTAGAAGACCTTTGCCCACTGAGATCTCCGCCAAGGATACATCATCATAGCTAGTTCTGTGCTGCATAGCCTCTTGGAGGGCGGCTTCGATTGCCATGGCTACAAAGCCGGCAAAGGGGAACAGATTTTTATTTTGGAACCGGTGCTGGCGAATCCAAGGGTGGTCGTCGGCGCGCAGCAAGACGCGCCACTGCGGCTCCAGGTCATTGCCTTCGGCCAGACGAAGGCCGATCAAGTCATGCCGGGGAGCCTGGGGTCGGAGAACGTTTTCAGCAACTCGCGACTTGCGCCAGAACCGCTTCGAGTGGTCCCAGGAGTAGGGCGGGAAGTCTTGAAGGGTGTCCGGCAGATTCGCCATCGAAGGCTCTCTGTGGTTCACGGCACAAACATCGATTGGCACTCCTCGGGAGAACAAAGAAGCAGCAAGATCGTGCACCATTTCCCCGGCGTCGTGCCGGCGACGGAGGGTAGGGAAGTACTCGACCTTGCTGTCGTCACTCAAACTTTGAAGGATATCCTTGACCGGCCCCTCAAGAGTTGCAGAAGGACCGACCTCAATTAGGCAACTGATCTGTGGTTGGGAGGTGCCCTCACTTAGCAGCGAAAAGAGCCCGTCTGAAAATTTCGTCGGCGAGACAAAGCTTTCGAGCCAGTACTGGTACTGCAACTCTAAGCCATCAAGTCTACAGCTGCGCGTCGAGGAATAAAATGCCGTGGTGGACTGCGAGGGCTTGAGTTTGGTGATCCGACGCTCATACTCGGAAGCGACGAGTTCCATTTGAAAGCAATGGTAACCGACATCAACGGCGAGTCGGCGGTTGAAAAGAGACTGCTTTGTCGCTATCTCCTGGGCCTGGGCAATACCCTCAATGGACCCCGCGATGGTGATGCTATGGGGGCTGTTTAAGCACGCGACTGACACGCGGCCATGGGTCACTTCCTCAATTAGGCGCTCCACTTCGTCGAGGGTTGCTCCGATTACCAGCATCCCACCCTTGGCATCTGGGAACCGATTCCGCAGAGCCTCGGCAGCGAGCCCGCGATAATACGCTAGACTTATCGCATCTTGGAGGTTGAAGACCCCAGCGGCATAAGAGGCTGCTATCTCTCCACTGGAATGGCCAATGACCGCCGTTGGATGGATAGACCACGACCGAAGCAAGTTGGTCAAAGCTATCTGGATGGCGGTGGAGGCGGCCTGTCCAATTGATGGGCGCGAAAACTGGCAGGTTTGCTCGTCCCTCGAAAGTTCCTCTTCACAAGAATAAGTTGGGGTTAGGAAGAAAGGCGTGAGTGATGAAGGCCGGCGGACCCACCTGTCAAAGAGAAATCGGCGCCCATGGCGGCCAGATGGGCCTCAGCCTCCATTATTGCTTTTCCAAAAACAGGATATATCTCGGATAATCCGCGAGCCATGGCATGCCATTGCGATCCCTGTCCTGTGAATATGAAGCCGATCATGGGGGGTTCACGAGCGCGTCGTGGTCGTACTGTATTTGCTGCGAGTCGATTGACTAGGGTAGTGGCAGAGCGAGCGGAGACCGCATATCTCCACGGCATATTTAAGCTTCTTTTGGACAGCGTGTGTGCTACGCTGTCCATGAAGTGGCTGTCATAGGCCAATGGATGCTGCTCCACGTAACGAGCCAGAGTTTGAGCCTGCCTACTGACGGCCGTGGAATCGTGGCCAGAAAGTGCGAAGAACCGAAGGGGTCCTCGTTGCGGATGTCGCTTGCTGTTGTGCGATTTGATCATCGACAAACAATTTCCGTTTCTCGCAGGCGCCTTAGTCAGGATCACATGTGCATTGGTTCCTCCGAGTCCGAAGTTATTGACGCTGGCGTAGGGCTTTCCCTTAGGCCATGCCACCAACCTTGTCGGCACCTGCAACAGAAAAGAAACCACCGTTAGCTGCATGTCCTAATATGTACACCACACTCATCTCACATGGCACGGAGTGAGGTTGATAGAAGTATTATACCTGTAGATTCCATTCTTCCAATGGGATATCTGACCGCGCGGTTTGGAAATCACAATTGGGCAGGATGAAGTCCTTCTCCAACATCAAGACCGTCTTGATCAAGGAGATCACTCCGCTCGCCCCTTCCGCATGGCCGAAATTCGATTTGATCGACCCGATCCACAGCGGTTCCGTGCGTCCGCGGCCGAAGAACTCGTACAAGGCGCGTGCCTCCAAGGGGTCTCCGACCCGGGTTCCGGTGCCATGCGCTTCCACATAGCCCACCTCCAGTGGATTAATCCGAGCTGCTCGATAGAGGTCTTCCATGAGGGTGCGCTGGGCCGCGCTGTTGGGCACGCCGACCCCCTGGGTGTGGCCGTCTTGGTTCATGCCCGTGTTCATCACCACGGCTCGAATGGGGTCGCCATCACGGATGGCGTCGTCGAGGCGCTTCAGCACTACACACCCAGCTCCTTCACCTCGTCCGTATCCGGATTCACCTCTGGAGTCAAACGGATAGCACCGGCCAGAGTCCGAGAAAAGCCTTAAGGTTCTCGGTGTTAGAAAAGACGCCTCTGCGCGGCTAGCTCGATGAAGCATATGGGACTAGGAATGAAGTTCCACGATGGACATACCGTGAGAGCGAGAAGGAGATGAAGGAGTCCGGCGTTAAATTCAAGTGGCAGCCCCCAACAAGCGCATGGGTACACTCCCCGCTGCGCAGGCTCTGACAGGCCAAATGCAAGGCGGACAAGCTCGACGAGCATGCGGTGTCGATCGTCACACTGGGCCCCGTGAAGTTAAAGAAATGCGAGATGCGATTCGACAGGAACGAAGCCGCGCACCCGCTAACTTGAAAGCTGGTCGTACTCTGTAGGTCGCGGAAGCTGTGCAGCTCATAGTCACTCGCGGACCCGGCGGCGAACACCCCGACGCGCTCCCCATCCCCCAGCCTCGAGGAGTACAGCCTACGTACGAGATTGGCATTCTCCAACCCTTCGTACGCGCACTCCAGCATCAGCCGCTGCTGAGGGTCGGTTGCCATGGCCTCTTCCTCGGTCATCCCAAAGAAAGAGGCGTCGAAGCGCGCGAGATCCTCCGACAGGAAGTGACCCCCCTGCGCATGTGTCGTGCCCGCTCGGTCTGGGTTGGGATGGTAATACGCCCCAGGGTCAAATCGGGATGCTGGGGAAATGGGCGACCAGGCGCTGCGGGCCTGGCAGCAAAATCGCCAGAACTCAGCTGGGGTCCGCACCTCGCCCGGCAGACGACATGATACCCCCAGGACGGCAATTGGGATGGGAGGTGGTGGTGGTGTGGAGGGGGCTTGAGAATGCATGGCTCGTTATCTGTCAGAGGTTGCAATGAAATATCAGTGGCACAGGATAGAGGGACTTGGCCGTGAGTTGCTGAGCGCAGGAGCAGCTCGGATAGTAACTTAGAGGTGGAGTGGTGAGAAACAACCCCAATATACCATGAAAATGTGGTCACCCTCTCTGAGAGTCTATCCATCGACTTTTCCTGGTTACCCACTCACCCCATTATGACAGCTACCGGACTCTTGTCAGGTTCAGTCCGCAATCTTTAGTCTCCACTTCCGATATGCACAGAGAGGCGCAGATCTGGAATAGCTCACAGTGACCTGCGGAGAGACGCGCATATGACACCGCAGAACACGGAAGGGCACTGTAGAGTACAGGATAGTGTGCCAATAGTGGCCGATCTTCTAGCAGCCGCACGTCTCGTGGACATACCGAGGAATTGGAAGATGCGACCTGTTACCCTTGAAAGATTAATCCTGCATTGTGACATTCTATGAATATGATCAAATCCTAGGCGAACGGCCTTTTCTGTCCTCCACCCAATTCACACCTCGAAGCCTGCCTCCTGTCCCAAAGTAACCCTAGGGCTGCTTCTCGAAGGCTTTCAACATGGTGACCGCAAAGTGGCAGATTGGGGACTGGGTTGCAATGCGAATGCAACAGCTGCGGGTAGAAGATTACTTTGTCGTTCCTGGTGAGTGTTGCCGGTACACATCCGTTGACCATAATTCACCCTCCCTTATCTCTTTCCATTGCGTCTGGCTGTAATCTGATTCTTTGTGCACAGGCGACTTCAATCTGGACTTTCTGGATCAGCTGCTCCGATACCCCCAACTTCGCATGATCAACTGCTGCAACGAGCTGAATGCCGGGTACGCCGCAGATGGCTATGCGCGCACCAGTGCCTCAGGGATCGCGGTCGTGGTCGTCACCTACATGGTGGGCAGTCTCTCCCTGCTGAATGCGATCGCAGGCGCCTACTCCGCGGGGCTCCGGGTGATTGTCCTCTGCGGAGGACCCCCGAGTACCGTCTACAGCAGCCCGACAATTGTCCATCACTCCTTGGGACTGGCCGACAAGGGACAATCGCTCCGGATCTATGAGCAGGTGACTTGCCAGGCCATCCGGATTGGTTCGGACTGCCCGTGGGAGGAAATTGATCGGACCTTGGACGATTGCCTTCGCCATCGCCGGCCCGTGTACATCGAGGTGCCCGTCGACATCGCCAATCTTCGCTTCGACAAACCGGTCTCTCCGGAAAGGTGCTTAGCGAACCTCCGCAGCATCAAACCTGAAGACTCACTGGAGAACGCCACTACTGCAGGGGCAATCGAAGCAATTCAGGACTGCTGGTCTTCCGCCAAGTGTCCAGTCATCATCCTCGGTAGCGGCATACGGTCTGATTTGTCGGTGCAGATGATCGATCTATTGGTGAGCACCCTCGGCTGCGCCGCGTTCTATCTGCTGGACGGCAAGTCCTTGATATCGGAGTCACATCCACAATGTGGCGGACTGTTCTGGACGATTGTCTCCGACCCAGGCGTGGAGGACACCGTCGTCCGGGATGCGGACCTCTGGGTGACCATTGGGTGCCAATGGAATGATCTGCACACGCTGAAATCCGTGGATGTCTGTCAAGAGGCCGGTCGCATTCTTGCCATCGAGCGGACAGTTGTCCGAACGCCGCACGGGCGTGTCATTCCCAACACCCCCATCGCAGGACTTGTTGAGGGCCTGGTCGCGTCGAGCAGCATTTATCAAAAGCCGGCTTCGATGACCTGTCTTCAAAGGAACCGTATGCCCTCGCCAGCTTCCTCCGTCAGCAGCAAGAGCATCACCGTCACAAACAGTCATGTGCCGTTGCCTTTGACAGTGGACGATATCGTTGCGGGAATCACATCGCTCGTCACCAGTCAAGACACCGTATTTGCTGATGCAGGCGAGAGTTGGTTCACCGCCAGCCAGGTGCGTCTGCCCTCCGGTGCAGACTTCCAAACCCAGCTCCTCTACTCTTCCACCGGCTGGTCTCTGCCCGCGGCGATGGGATGTCAACTCGCGAAGAAGAAGGAAACCCACGGTCGCACGATCCTCGTGATCGGCGATGGCAGTATGCAAATGACCGCGCAGGAGATCAGTACGATGATCCGATACCGCACCCCGGCTGTTATCTTCGTCATCAACAACTACGGTTATCAGATTGAGGTATGATCGGGGTTCTCCCAATCGAGCTTTTTTGGCGAAGGCTTTTGCACCGCTGGACGAATTTTGGTGTGTGTTCTAATTCAGATCTTGTTGTAGGAAGCCATTCACTGCGGCCCCTATAACCAAATTGGAGGGTGGGATTACACCGCGTTTGCCGGGTCCTTGCAGGATATCAACAGCAATAACTCGAAGAACATCGACGGACCATTCCGTCTGGTTACCGCCAAGGTCAAGACCCAGGACGATCTCACCGCCGCCCTCGCTCAGCTACGGCGTGCACATCAAGAACTGGTTCTGGTGGAATGCTGTGTGGACCCGACGCGAGCCAGTGCGCCGATGAAAAAGTTTGGCGCGAAATTGGTGACCCGTGCGGGTCCACAAGGAATCGCGGTCCCAGGAGAGCGGGACGCAGGATCCACTGTCTCTCTATGAGTGGGGATGATAGATAGTTCATCCTTAATACGGCTCCGCATTTGGTATATTATTCGGATTGCACTGCGTCGTGATAGGTTATATTGCAGCGTCTCATGTAGGTTCTCGGCATCGGACCCAGCTGACAACCATGCAGTGAAGGCTCTTGTGCATCAGATGGCGTGCTGATCTGTCCGGATTTAGGGGTGTCGATGCCGGTTTGATCGGTTCATAACCTCCATGTATCGGCACAGATACGTGTATATGATCTGCCTTCGGGATGCCATAATATCTTTTCAGGTTTGTTTTCGATTGGATGCGTCATATAGCGGTCAAAGCATAGGAAGCTTTCACTGAAAATGGGATATGTAGACTGATCTGCCGATTCGGCTTTTCGGTGCGTCTTATACATCCGATTTGTTTCACCTCCATTTGAGTTTTCTCCCACTTCATATGAAGTTTATCTTGAGGGCGTAGGTAGATAGCGTCCATATCAGTAAGGATTACCGATCGGATACCTCGACATGACGGGAATTCTAACAAGGTTTGGGGACTCGGTGATCCGGAGGGCTTTGACTTCGTGAACGGATTAGACGTGCAGAGCTATCTGACCTATGGAAGTTAATTGTGTGCCCGTCAACGCTGACTATAAGTTGGCATCACTTGGAGTGAGCACAAGAGTATCCCTCCCCTGTGACTTACCCAAGACCATCTTCTTTACCCAACGCAAGAAACCATGAGCCTCCCGACACCACCATCACCACTTCTCTCCGATACCTATGATGCTACTCAAAAAGGTCCCACCAAGAGCCTGGGCGAGCTGTTCGCTGACATCGCCCGCCAACTCCCCGACCACGAGGCAATCGTCGCGCTCCATGGGGTCGATCGTTTGAAGATTGGAGATAGCGAGCCAGCGTCGAGCGTCATCGGAGAGCAGCAGTATCCTGTCCGGTGGACCTTTGCTCAATTACACGATGCGAGTTGTCGTCTGGCAACCATCATATCTAATAACGGCCTGCGCCCGGGCGACCGTGTGATGACCTTCATGTCCAACGAAGCTGAATACGCGCTGCTCTTCTGGGCAACGATAAATTTGGGCTGTCAATTCGTGCCGATGGACCCGCGGGTACTCGATCACATCACCGACGAGTCGGTTCAACTCCTTGAGCGACTTGATCCCGCGGCCATCGTGGTGTCGAATCAGACCATGGCGATACAGGTAGATGAGGTGGTAAAGAAAACGGACAGCTGCCGTCATCGTCGTTGCGGCGATAGGCGGCGGGAAATCATCAAGTACAGCCTTGGGGAATGCCATGAGGCTACTACTGGGGACTGGAAAATGTTGACAGCCGCAGAGCTGGAGGCAGCAGGCGGCTGCAGCAAAGCATGTCCAACTTCTCGCCCCGTCAACGAGACATGCCTCATCCTCCTCACAAGCGGCACCGAATCCCTGCCCAAAGTCTGCGCACATACGTCAATGACTGTTGGCGCGCCCGCCCTGACCCTCATGGAACAATGGAAGCTGCGGGCTGGGGAGGACGTCCTCTGCCAACATCTCCCGAACTTTCATATCTTCAGTATCTTGCTGCAGGTCAGCTTCTGGCTGGCAGGCGCGACAGTGCTGATCCCGAGTGCGACGTTTGACGCGGCCAAGTCCCTTGACGCTTGCTTCTGGTGCCCTCGACGAGTCCATGTTGCATGCGTGCCTACAATGCTTCGGGCGTTGGCTGCTGTCTCGGAAGGCGAAGCAGCGCCGCTGGCGGGAGCAGAGCGACGATCACCATATTCAATCATTCTAGGCGGTGCCCCGATAACCCAGGATAGCTTGGAACTTGGCAAGGGGTTGGGTGCCCAGCACGTGGTTGCTGGGTACGGCACTACCGAGGGAGTGGGAGCACTCATGAACACAATGAGTGTTTCCACCATCGTAGGGAGAAAACAAGGAAAAGCAACTGGAAAAAGTGATGGTGATGGTGATGATGTTTCCCTGGGCAAGGTTCAATCGGGCGCCGGGATCCGTGTTTGCGGTCATCAGAGCCGAATGCCCCTGCCACGTGGACAGGTCGGCGAAGTTCATCAAGGCGGCCTCCCATTGATTGCTGGGTACCTGGACGCCACATCCAGTGAGGCGAGTAGCTCCTTCTACGAGCGCAACGGAGTCACTTGGATGGCGACAGGTGACCAGGGATACATGGACGCGGAAGGTGCGGTGTATATCTTAGGAAGATATAAAGATTTGATCATCCGTGGGGGGGAGAATATTTCGCCTTGGAGAATTGAGCAACATCTCACTCGATTACCAGGCATTGCGGTAAGTGCAAGCAGATCACACGCCCTTCCTAGTTTGTCGGAGCACTGCGGTTGCAGATAGTACTGACATCTCCATGCTTCTCGATGTTAGGCCGCATCAGTAGTCGGGGTGCCTGATACCGTGGCCGGCGAAGTCCCTGTGGCTGTCATTATCCGAGATAATAACCATCCCGAGTCCCATATGACTACGCAAGAGATTCAAGATGCGGTTTGCAGGAACCTAGGCAGGGCTTTCTCGCCATATCTGGTCCTATCTTTGAACGATAACCTAGGACATGATCGATTCCCCACGACAAGGACCGGTAAAGTGCGAAAGGCTGAGCTCCGTGGATGGGTGGAGGACTACCTAACGGAGTCTTCAAAGGAGCTCCAGGCATCTCAAGGCCCTGAGTCCGGCACGGCGCTAGAGGATCTCACTAGGTGTCTCGCGCGAATCGCCGGAATCAGTACGAACCAGATTGACTGTGACATCCCGATTCGTGCCTATGCGGATAGTATCATGATCATGCAGTTCTTCCATTTGGTGCAGCAGAAGGGTCTCGGTCGCCTCACGCAGCAGGACCTCGCCCATCACAGCACCATTCGTAAGCAGGTCAACCTGTTGCAGTCTTGCAAGTATCAGACGAGTACCGGAAGCATTTCGCCAGCTGGAAATTCGGGCAATAGCGGATGGACACTGTCATATTATGACCAATGTCTTCAGCTGCCAGATCTCGAAGAGAAGGTCCTCCAGAAACTGCAGCCTCTGGGGTTTGGCCCGAGGGATGTCGAAAGCGTGATTCCCACGACAGACTACCTACAGCGGTTCGCACGGGACCAGTCCCGGTCAAATTCGTGGAGTATGCGGGCGGCCTGGCTGGCGCAAGATTCGTCACTCACCCCCAACGGATTGGAATCTATCCTTGAACTCTGGATCCAGCGACATCCCTTGTTGCGAGCGACATGCATCACCTACGACGAAGAACGGGAATTGTATCTCGTGATGCATCCGAGTGATCGATGGTTGCGGCTGCAGATCAGCCATGATGACCTAGTGGTGGAGAATGCGCAAGCGCTGCAAGACTATCGAATGAATGATCCTGCCTTCGACTGGGTGAACGTAGCCACTGGACCGCCGTTCAAGGCGACAATCCTAAAGACCCGGGAGGGCCTCGCCGGAGTTATCATGCACTTTCACCACGCTGTATTCGACGGGTTCTATCTGTTCTCGCTGGCCCGTGACTTGCAGGAGCTCCTCAGAAGTACAGAGAGTCGAGGTAGCTCTTCCAGCATGATCTCAACGGTCCCGTTCCCGACATTTGCTCGCGCCTTTCATGCATACAGAATGACCCCTGAAGCCCAAAGGTCAGTGGACTTCCACGTGAAGCGGCTTCAAGGTCTGGCCGCGACGCCGGACTCGTTGTGGCCCCCACAGAAAGCGCCAGGGTGGATGAAAGGCGACTGGCAGGACTGGGCTGCATCGTGTTCCGACAGCGGCAGCAACAATTTGTTCGGTCCCCGCGAGGCCCTCGACGGAGACCAAGGCCGGGGCACTGAAGGAATAACGCGAACCCTCCACCTCCCCGAGTTGTCTTTGATGCGGAGGCAGTTTGGGTTCCCGGCCTCGACCATCGCGAAGTGTGCGTGTGTGATGATGAACTGGCGGCTCACGGGGAGCGAAGAGGCCGTGTTCGCCGGAGTTGATTCGGGACGGCACTGGCCCATGGCTCTGGAACCATCGTCGACATCACCCTTATCATCGGATGTTGGTGATGCACTTCGAGTAGATGGTCCCACGATGACCTTCTACGTAAATCGGATCGGTCAAGCCCCCAACGAAACTGTGTATCAGCTCCTGTCTCGTGTTCAAAGCGACCAGGAGGAGTTGTCGGCCCACGCGCACGCCCCGCTCAACGACATCAAGGCCCGATTGCGTGCGGCTGGCGCTTCTGGCGCCGACGACTTGAGGGTGGCTGACGACGTCCTGCATCGCCAATCTTTCAACTGGCTGCTGGAGCAGTACGAGTCTTCCGCCGATGACAAAAGCGATCGACTCCGGCTGATGGATAACATCTCACGCACGGACCTGGGCTTCATGTGGTATCCGAGCTTGGGACCGGGAGATGTTCTGTCGTTGAACGTGACGTGGGATGATGCGCAGTTGAGGAACCAGGAGGTCCTGGATATCACGACGGAGTATATGTGTGCGGCCGCCTGGATTGCGGATCCCGCCAATGTCAATCGATTGGTTTCGGAGTGTCCTTTTGCAGGTGACTATGCTATCACTTACTGGGTTCCTGAGAGGATCAGACGGTAAAGTCTGTTTCGAGGCGGGAAATTTGTGCAGTCATAGCAGCAGTCTAGAGTCTTCAATAGAGAGCAATAGACAGACGGAGGAAATTCCGCAGTTGACTAAAATTTCGGGGTTCGTGACTTGTGTTACCCGTAGCGATTCTCAAAACGTACACCGCGACTGGAAAAAATAAGTGATGATTTAAGCGACATGCCTGGTTGATGATAGCCTGGAGATTGAGAGGATAAACAAAAGGAAAGGCGAAGGCGTGCGATCATTGTCACGTGATGAGATCTTTCATCCCGCCCAAGTCCCAGTCCGAGTCCCCTCCACTGCACTCACTCACTACCTACCCTGGAAGTGTGCTTAAATTATATCATGATTCCATCTTCTTGCAGCATCCATTCATAATAAGGTTCTGTCAAGCACGACTGGCCATTCGAGACGAACATGCCGGAGCGGCCCCTCTTCAACTTAAGTTCAAGTTTATATATTGTGCCTATTTCACGAGGACGGACGTGCCTACACTCTGCGCTTCAATCAGACAACTGCTCAAACAAACAAGTATCCCCAACAGAATAATAATGTCACCAAGGGTCTTTTGTCAAGTTCCTTCCATGCAAAAGGTTGCTCTATGCGATGAGTGTCGCAGTTCCTGCAATTGGCCCCTACACGCCGATGATTACTAGCAACAAAGAGCTTGGTCAATTTCATGATTGTGTCTCTGTGGTCTCCGTTATCGATCAAGCACCTCGATCCATATTCTACCTGATATATCCAGAGTCATCCGAAGCCCAGGTCTCAATAACTACTCAGATTGATGTCTCGCCACTTTCTCTTAGTCTTTTCCGCATAACCTTCCCACTGATGGTGCGTGGGAGCGACTCTGCGCTCACAAACTCAAACAACTGAGGGCAGCAGTGCGCTGCTTTCCGTTGCAGGCAATGCTCACGCAGCTCCTGTGTTAGTCGTGAGTGGGTAGTAGTCGTGGGTATCGGATGCGCATCGCGCAGCACCACAAAGGCCTTCACGCAGGTGCCACCTCGCGTGGGATCGACCGTGCCCACAACGACAGCCTCCAACACCCCAGGATGGCTTTTAAGAACCACCTCGACTTCTACTGGACCTGGAAAGATGCTTAGATTGAGTACCCATTCTACACTGGCTTGGAGTGAGTGAGTGGGTAGGTGACTTACCAATGCGGTGTCCCGCTGAATTGATGACATCGTCGCCACGTCCCACATACCACAGATATCCTTCGTCATCGTGATACGCCCGATCGCCCGTCACGTACCAGGAAGTGCCTTCATCATCAGTAACTAATGGTCGACGAGTGGATCCATCGGACTGAATATAGCCATCGAATAGGCCCAAAAAGCTGGTCTGCGGCCTACATGCTTGTTGGTGGATAGGAGCGGAAGTGGAGAAGACGCGCACGGCAATATCCCCTTCCTCAAATGGATGAGCAAGCCGGCGGTTGGCATTCAAAATAGCGAGAGGCACCCCTGGGAGTGGCTTGCCCATCGATCCGAGTTTTGGGGCGATGGCAGGCGAATTACCGCACAAGATCGAGGTCTCGGTTTGCCCGAAACCGTCGCGGATGATGATCCCATCGGTGTTCTCGGCCCACTTCAGGATTACCTGAGCCTCGAGGTTCTCGCCGGCACTGGTGCAGTGCTCCAGGGCCCGCGGTGGTTGGTCGACAAATTTCTGCGCCAATTCACCGCGGACCATGAGCCGATAAATGGCGGGCGCCGTGCAGAAGGTGGTGATGGGGAAGTGGTGCAGCAGGTCGATGGCGCGCTCGGGCTCAAAGGGCCCCTCATCGCCATCCAGGAACAAGGCTGCTCCCTGACCCCACGCGCCAAAGAAGGCCCACAGGGCTTTGGCCCATCCTGTGAGAATGAACAATTCGATGTTAGCCTATTTGACACCTTTCCTGAATGTAGCCGCAAGTGGGTTGTAGTTTGCAAATCACCTTGGTCAGATGTATTAAAAAGCAGCTTTCCCGGGCAAAGGTCCAACCAGTCCTTTCCGGTACGTATGTGGGCTTCAGGACACAGTCAGCAAGCATAACATCAAACCAACTTCTCTTCCCATCCAGTACACCAAACACCTACCATACGGATATGACAAATGCGTATGCCTCACCATCTTCGGTTCACCAGTCGTCCCCGAAGTGAAGTACAACAAGCATGGGTCAGTTGCAACAGTTGTCGGCAGATTTGGCGCCGCTCCTGCATGCACGCTTGTCAAAAGTCGACTATATGTCATCACCTTGGGATGGGGAAACACTACGTCCCCATTCCCAAGCTGGATAATCCTCCTGCTCCTTGAAGGCTGGGAAGGTGCATCCGCCCATGCTAGCACGTCTTCTGTAATCCGCCCAGAACTGGCCACAATGGCCGATGCATTGGTCATTTGCGCCCGCTGGGATACCTCCGCAGGCATCAAGGCAGCCGAGCATGGACAAACCACCACACCTGCCAGCATGCATCCACAGAGCATCTCATACCAATCTGGGGCTCTGCAGGACATCAGGAGAATGACATCTCCTTTGTTAATTCCGCTCGCCTGCAAAGCATGTGCAACCTGGTGAGCCCTCTGCTCAAAATGACTGTAGTGGAATTCTTGAGCTTGGCCTGGGCCGTCAGACCCCGATTCGATGTATACCATGGCCAGCGGATCACCACCCTTGTTGCTCCAGTGGCTCAGCACATGTCGGGCAAAGTTGAACGACTCGAGGTTGTAGCTCGGCTGGCTGATGGGGACTGTCATGATTTCAACGCTGATGATAGCTGCTTCGTTTGGGGTAATCATCAGGAGGATTCCTACCGGTACTGGTGGGAGGCACAGAGTATGTAAAACCTGGCTCTGTCTTAGGGGACACTACGGCGGGGAGCAACACCAAGCCAAGCGGCCACCGATCGCCTGGCACACAGCGCTCATCAAGACATTTGTCGGCTCAAACCTTACCTGGCGCAGCGTAGTGTGGGTGAGGCGTCACATATGAGCCGATGGTGTGATGTGAATTATTTCTCCCATTGAAGATCTGCGGCCGCAGAACAGCCCGCACCCTCGAAGAAGCAAATTGATGGAAGATTATTGACGGGTTCGAAAGACTACAGAGACCCGATAGGAAAGCATGCAAGCCAACGCAGACAGCCTCCAGTGAACAGGTCAGATTTACGGCACTTACCGCTCCCTGAGGCATCGGATGGCTAAAGCCTGAAATTGAATTCGCCCCCGACACCAAGACACGTCAGATTGCGCCGTCTGTCAAGCTTGAATAGAGACTCTTGGAAACTATTGGTAGATAGTCTGAAAGTGTCAAACATGCAAGAGGAGTGCATAAGACATGGAACTGCAAGGAACAAGTATGTCTAGCCAAGCATTCCTGTCTTTCCAAGATGATCGGCGCGGGTCAGGGGCAAGTCTCCTGGCATGTCAGAGGGAACGGCACGCGTGGCTTGAATTCCTAAGAGTGGATAGAGCAATACAGTCTGTGGGTAAAAGAAAGGCTGTGGCCTGAAACTCCGCGTGGCCCTCGAATGAGCCTCTTCTGCTCAACAGCATGTCGCTGGCAGCGCGGGATATGGCTTCAAAGACATGCCCCATCAGTGTAGAGAACCATTTGGGACCCGTGGTGAATGGATGCGGGGATAATGTCGACTTCACCTTGCTGTTCGAGGATGCGGTGCTGTTGCTGGCGCCTGCTGTGCTGAGCATCCTCGTCGGGGTGTGCCGTGTGGGCAATCTTCGAAGCCGTCCCCAAAAGGTCCGCGCAGCTATAAACTATTGGGTCAAAATGGTAGGCGAAAGATTCGCACCTCGTCTTGCAACGAACACTAGCTGACTTTAAATCTCGTATCTAGGTCTTTCACGTCATTCATATCCTCCTACAACTTGCCTCACTAGTCATCTGGACTCTCCCATCGACTCCGAAGACCAGTCTCTCCCTTCCGGCCTCGGTCGCATCTCTTGTCGCTGCCATCACAGCCGTTCACCTCTCCCACTTGGAGCACTTTCGCTGCCTCCGTCCTTCCACATGTCTCGTTCTGCATTACCTGGTCGTTTGGTTGCTCGGGATTCCCCGGGCACGCACACTGCTATCTGTCTCGGGACTTGAGACCCTGGCGTCAATTCACATCGCATCTTTGGTGGTGATCTTTGCCCTAGTCATTCTAGAGTCCATGGAAAAAAAGCACACAAGTCTACCTCATTGCCGCCCAAAGTCACTGGAAATGGGGGCGGGCGCCATTAGTCGGAGTCTGTTCTGGTGGCTCAACCCGCTGCTTTTGCAAGGGTGTAGGGGAACGCTCTTGATGCGCGACTTATTGAAGATCGATGGCTCTGTTTGCGCCGACGAAACGGAACAGGCTCGGCTAGTTATGGGATGGGCACGGTGTAAGTGTCTCCAGACTGGGTGAAAGAACAATGGCTTCTGATATGGCTGTTACCAGGTAGAGAACAAGGCAAATGGTATCATCTATTATTACCTCTGTTCCAGGTGTTGAAGTGGGAGCTTCTTCGGGGTGCCATTCCCCGGCTGGCTCAGGGAGGGTTTCTGCTGTCGCAGCCCTACTTGATCAAGCGGGCCATCATCCTCTTTGCTATGCCGGACTCGACAACCAACTACAAGAAAGGCCTGTTGCTTACGGTGGCGTTCGCGCTGGCCTTCGTCGGCATCGGGGTACGTGAGACCCGTCCATTTCGCTTTCCTTTATGGCTCACTGTGGAGTTTAATACTATCTCACACGACAGGTGGCTACTACACGAGCACGACACCATTCGAATCGCCTCGCGAGCAAGCTACGAGGTGTCCTCATAGCCATCGTGTACGATAAGGTGTTTGAATTGCAACTGCAGCCGCATGATGTCGCAGCCGTAACGACAATGATCACCACACACACTGAGCGGATCACGACCGGCATGCAAATGATCCAGGATACGTGGGGTTGCTTGACCGAAGCTATCCTCGTGGTTTGGCTACTTTCGGATCCGCTACGTATAGCAGATTTGGCGCCTGTAATTATTTCTCTGGGTGCGTATTCTTACTTGCTGAGGTTTTATTCTTGATTGCCGGGGCCTTGCATTAACGACCTGAGAAAGTCTGCGTGGTGGCCGTTGCCGGTGCAGTTGGCTATCTAGTCCAAAGGCAGACTTTGTGGTTGCAGGCTATTAAGACTCGGGTCGGGGCCACGGCTGCGATGCTCAAAGCAATGAAATCTATCAAGATGTCCGGAATGGCGCGGACGTTGTCCGAGCAGATGAGGTCCTTTCGAGACAACGAAGTGCGACGCTCTCGCGGGTATCGGATGCTTCTCATTGTGATTACACTGCTAGGTCTGTATAAAACTTTTCCGCCTCATATCACCCAGCTAAATTTTCTAGTGCATGCGAATACCTTTGTCACGCCAGTGGTGGCACTTTCGATGTACAATTTGATTGCCCGCCAGAAAGAATGGACCGAGACGCTCGACAGCGCACGAGCGTTTACTGCCCTCGCGTTTCTGACCATTTTGGCTTCCTCGTTCGTCGGTTTTCTGCAGTCACTAACGGAGCTCTCCACGGCGTTGGGGTGTATCGACAGCATCCGAGTGTTTGTGCTGCAGCCACCCCGTCCGGAGGGTCGGTGCTTGCCAGAAGCGTACAAGCTCATGTTGTTTCAGGATCCGATCTTGTCCAAAGCCAGTCGCTCCGGGCATGTCGTTGCAAAGGACGTCTCCCTTACCTGGAACGATGGCACCCCGATTTTACAAGACTTTTCCTTTGTGCTCAACCGTGGAGCGCTCGTGATGGTGAATGGGCCTGTTGGAAGCGGGAAGTCCATGCTCCTCCGCGCAATGCTCGGCGAGGTCCCCAAGGTCAGTGGCAAGCTAACCGTGGCAGCTCGTAGTTTCGCCTACTGCGCCCAGGCACCATGGATCGTGTCCGGCACCATTCAGGAAAATATCCGCGGCCCGGGAAGTGGCGTGTCTTCCTCGCCGACTTGGTATGCCACCGTTCTAGAAGCCTGCGACCTGCATAAGGACCTGGCCAGTCTGCCAGAGGGAGATCTCACGGCTGTTGGGGGACAAGGGATAGGTCTAAGTGGGGGTCAACAACAGCGATTGGTATGGCCCCACGTTTCTTCCACCAGCCCTAAGCTAACACACGCCGGGTGGAATTTGTCACCAGGCTCTGGCACGAGCAATCTTCTGTCAAGCCGATCTTGTGCTCCTCGACGATGTCATGAGTGGTTTGGACCCGGCCACAGAGGAGCACATCTTCCACCGAGTGTTGGGACCCCATGGATTGCTCAGAACCGCCGGGGTGACTGTTGTTGTGGCATCCAGTTCACGTATGTTTTGGTTTCTATACCCCCGCATCTCTTAGTCTGCGTAAACCATAACGTAACAGCTTCTTTGACTCGACTATCTAACATTGTCTTTTTGAAATCACAGCTCGCTGGCTTGCATTCGCCGATCAGGTGCTTACAGTAGGTGCGGATGGATCAGTGACAAGCTCGACGCCACGTGTCTCGCCTAATCCCACCATCCCGCATGATAACGCGTCCTCTGTGACTCTAGTGACTGCGGCAGAGCTCTCCGGGGTCGCCTCTCCAGTGCAGGCCGATGAGAAGGAACTCGCAGTGCAGGAAGAACCGGCTCCTGACCGGGATTTGGCGGACATTTCTATATATCGGTACTACTTCGCCACCGCGCCGTCGGCTGCCTGGCTGTTGGTTTACGGCTCGCTGGCTGTGCTAGTCGCGCTACATACTTTTATGTGTAAGCCCTGGACCCCTCTTCGCCGTCACAGCTGGCTGATGTGGTGGTGCAATGCAGCTGTCTGGGTCAAATGGTGGGCCGAGGATAACGACCGAGAACCTAACCACAACCTCAACATGCGAGTTGGGGTCTATTGGCTCCTTGGGGCTCTGGTCGCTGGTTTCTTTGTCTTGGCCCCGTGGTATGCATATGTTACCTCATTTTGGGAAAGGACGAACGCGCTCACAGTATGCAAGGTGTCTTTGGAGTCTGGTGGCTCCGCGAACCATGGTAGCTCTCCATCGAGATCTTCTCCAGACTGTGCTGAAGTACGCCACTCGTGTCGTGATTCTGGCTTGCACTCAGAGGGCGTCGCTGACCGAGCCATCACAGTGCGCCATTTTCATTTCTCTCATCTTTGGACGCAGGGGAAACGTTGAACCGGTCCGCGACCTCCCCCTTTTCAAATTTATGACTGTGTGGCTCAGGCTGATTCGATCACTCACCATGGCGCAGCTTCAGTCAGGACCTCGAACTCATTGATTTCCAAGTGCCCGAGTTCCTCATGCTGTTCTCTCTTAGTAAGCAACTTTCACGCCGAGGGCAAAGCGCTGCCTCGAGAAAGAGACAACGATACTAACGGAGGACACCGCAAGCTCTACTTATGTGCATCGCGCAGATAATCGTCATCGCCATCCAGGTTCACTACGCAGCCGCCGCGCTACCCGCCTGCCTCGTGGTCTTCTACGTGGTGCAGAGGTTCTACACGCGCACCTCGCGCCAGCTCCGGATCCTGGACCTCGAAGCCCGCGCTCCCTTGCTGTCGCTGCTGCTGGAGACCATCCAGGGGCTCGAGACGATCCGCGCGTTTGACTGGACGCACAGGTACAGGCAACGGTGCTATAAGCTGTTGGTGGAAGCGCAGAAGCCGTTTTACCTGCTGTACGCCGTGCAAACGTGGCTCGCTTTGGTGCTAGATCTCAGCCTGGCCGGGTTCGTCGTGGTGGTCATGGGGGTCGGCGTCGCCAGCCTGGGCAAGATCTCCCCGGCAGCGATGGGCTTGGCCCTCGTCAACATCATCGCCTTTGGCACCTCCGTCAAGCTCTTGACCACCTACTGGGCGTCCCTGGAAACCTCGTTGGGGGCGGTGGCCCGGATCAAGTCGTTTGTGGAACGGACCCCTTCCGAGATTCTTGTGCCTCCTTCGCATGAGCCGTCAGAGCATTTACCGCAAAATTGGCCGGTTGAAGGCTCTGTTGAGTTCCGGGGGGTATCCGTCGCCTACGGGTGGGTCTTCTCCTGTCCTTCCTTTCCGTGCTACCGTCCAAAGATCAACGGCGTTGGGTCTAAACCAGGAGATCTCCTAGTGCTCAATCAACCCATGCCGTGCGAAATATATCACTATCAATTCCCGCTGGACAGAAACTAGCCATCTGTGGCCGTACAGGAAGGTTTGCCACCCTCAACTCCCGAGTCACGGTGACAATGAACCACGTGTCGCCTCACAAGGACAGAATAAGTTGCCCTAACGACTGAACTGATATTTCAATATAGTGGCAAAACCTCTCTCATCACCGCCATTTTCGGTATATCCGACCTCACCGAAGGGGAGATCCTCATCGACGGCCGCAGCATCTCGACTATCGACCGGACCTTCCTCCGCACAGCCATCGTCGGAGTGCCCCAGGATTCCTTCATCCTGGAGGGCTCTAGTTTCCGGCGCAACCTTGATCCATTCGATGCACACGGTGACGACACGGTGGTAATGGAAGCATTGTTCACCGTGGGCCTCGGTCATCTCCCCGACCCGACTCTCGGGTTGGACACCGTCATCGACGAGAACACCATGACTCCCGGTCAGAGGCAGCTGCTCTGCTTGGCGCGGGCCAGCCTTCGTCCGGGGCGGGTGGTGGTCCTTGATGAGCCGACGAGTAGGTCAGTAGTGGCACTTTCTCCCTCTTTCCTTGGCTCTGGGATCCCTCGCACTTGAATGGGGAGCAAGGAAAATAAGCGACCGAGCTGACTCCACATAACCCACAGCGTCGATGAAGAGACTGAGGCCCAGATGCAATCGATCATCCAGACCGCGTTTACTGGCCGGACGGTCATCATGATCACGCACCGGATCCGGGCCGTGATCAAGTACGGGTATGATCGGGTTATCGTGATGCGGGACGGGGAGATTGTCGAGGACGGGGCACCGAGGGAGTTGCTCAACCGCGAAACAGAGGAAGGGGGTGGAGCTGGGGCGTTTCGGGAGTTGTATCTTCGAGAGAGCGGGGAAGGGGCGGGGACCGGTAACCCTGTGATATAGCTGATTCCGATCGCGATATCTCCTCGTTGTGTCACAGGTGGATGGTGACCATTATCATTATAATACATGTAATACGACGGTTTAGCACCGAACCAAACAGAAGTATCCCAGCGGTCAACGGTTCCGCCTCAGCAATATGTTTAAAGCACACGGGGCCACCAATATCTCAGACTCATCTCTCATCCATGCATGATATCATGGTAAGTGATGCTACTGCGCCCCAGGACACAACGCCCCCCCCCCCCCTAAAAACGCTACAAATGATCCAACAGCTGCAGATACCGCACACACGGCCACGCCGCCGACCCCTCGATAGCGCGCAGCTCCGCCGCCAGTTGCCTCGTTCCGCACCAACACCACACAATGGGCGCGCTCCACCCCGTCGCTCCCGCGGTACCCAATCCGCGCCGCGGCGGGGCGGAGTCCGCTCCCGCTCCCGCTCCTGCCCTGCTCACCCGTCTTCCTGCCCGTCCCCATGCCCATCTCAAACCTCACCCCCTCCAACACACTCTCCTCCCCGGCACGATACCGGACCAACAACTCCACCTTCATGACCTCCTCGATCAGATCCGCATTGAACGCGGCGCCCATGAACGCCTCCTGGGCGTCCCAGCCGCGCAGGGCGGCGAGGCCGCGACACCGCAGCCCGAAGTCCGGACAGCGCATGGTGGCGACGCACAGGGCGGGGACGATCTCCGGGCGGGCGGTGACGGCGGGGCGACCCGCGGTGTTGGTCGACTCGGTCACCATCGGAAAGCGGGCGATGGCCGCCTCGGCGGCGGTGAGGACGGCGAGGAAGTCCGGGAGGAGGCAGCGGGCGCTCCTTGCTGAAGAGGGCGATCT